TGCTTATCGTCACACGTGGAGGGATACCGTCTGTGACATCATTGAGGCCGACTACATCAGGCATGATTATAGCCTTAACAAGTACAGTAGATTCCCTATCTCATGAAATGTCATCCGAAATTCTGAAATGCGTTTTCGGTTCAAACATAGTAATTACGTATGGTTTTAAAGATAACAATCGTACAGCCTAATCTCCATATATTTTGGTCACATCAGGATGCCGGCTTTTTAGCGAACTTCTTTCTGACCGCTAAGTAAAAGTACGTACTATAAAAAGTAGCTACTTAAGTAGTATGCCTTTCTCTCATTGATTTTGGCTGCCTTTATAAACTCAAATATATTTTTTGGAAAAAAATGCACGAAAAAATTATTTCTTGTACTCGTTTGGTAGCAAATTACACCTTCTTTAAATTTTATATTTAAAGAACTGGTATCTTTCGGTTTTAAAAGAGTTTCTAAATTGCCGAATAATTTCGAAACCTAGTGACTGCTACACTCGAATTCAAGGTTTACAAACTGCGCAATGTGTACATCCTGTTTAGGGAAAAGTACGTTTTCGTCTACAGCTTGAAAAAGATCTCACATAATTCTCATGAAATGTTGCAATAGATGTGAAGCAAGCTTTATACAGTAAAGGCAATATTAACAAATTGACGGATACGGTGTTCTGTGAATGAACACCGGAAAATTGTAAAAGAGCTCATAATTAGATTTTTAAAAAAAGAAAGATACCAGTTCTTTAAGTATAAAATTTAAAGAAGGCGTAATTTGCTACCAAATGAGTCCAAGGAATAATTTTTTCATGCATGTTTTCCAAAAAATATATTTGAATCTATAAAGGCAGTCAAACTAATGACAAAAAGGCATACTATTAAGTAGTCACTTTTTATAGTACATACTTTTTATTGACAGTCAGGACGATGCTCGTTAAAAAACAAGAATCCTGAAGTGTCCAAAATATTTTGAGATTGGGCTGTAAGATCGTCTCTATTACAACCATCCGCAATTAATATGTTCCATTCGAAAACTCATTTCAGAAATCCCGGCGCCATTTCATGAGATAGTGAATCCACTGTACAAGTCCAGGTTGCTCTAACTGGCGCCGCCCATGCTAACTCTCTATGCGCAACATATCCCAGCGGCTTGTCTGCGGTAGGGTACCGGCCAGCCGCATTGACAGGCATACATGCCCATTGGACAATTACTGATGTTATGCAAAACGCGCACCCTCCTCAACATCACAGAGTCGATTTCAAAATCCTCCGTTATTGGTCCTCAAAAAGTCTTTTATGATACAAACTGTATTTGATTATGCAAGCAGGCGCGAAAGAACCAGTCAACTTCAAACATCGATCTACTTCTAAAACATGCCTCAGCCAGCCTGTTATATTGTCCGACACCCATCAGAGGGTTTGAAAAAGAGTCTATCGATTTTTCCCATTCAAACCAGTGCATTTTCATATGCGTCTGCTTTGCCTTTTACTCCTTTGGACTTCTGTTTTATATGCGAAGGAAGATGAAGAGAAGAAATTCTCACTTCACAAACTGTTTACAGAGTTCAAACAATATAGAACTACTTTCTTCTACCAGCACATTTTCGCGATAGGCCGGCCCGTCAAATTGCCGTGTTTCCAGAAAGGTCACGGCCCTAAGCAAGGCGTTCATACGTACAACTGGACTCACCAAGGATATTTAATATCTGACACAAGTGCTTTTATCAGTGCTCATCTAGACAGCGACGGAAACCTTCTCATTAGCCAAATTCTAGCCCGAAAGTTGACTATTTGGTGTACCACGCTTTCTGGAAGCTTGAAAGCTCTGAAACCCCAAAATTTTGCACATCGAATAGACTTCTACGACCCCACCTTTCGGCAAACACTCCTAGCAATAGACCTCAAAGTCAATATTAACCAGACAGAGAGAAGCAATTTTGCGGCTTTTGCTTTCGGTCAACAGTTCAACTGTCAGGTGAGGTCTTCGGAAGAACCTGGACCAATTCCGGAGAAAAACGAGGAGACAGAAGTGGCCCCGCAGAAGAGAATTATGCTTCAGACTGTAAGAGATGCCTGCAGCAAGTCTGTTGACTGCATAGGCGTCAGTCTGGACTTCTTCCGATGTTCGATTGACATCGACCAATTGAAAGCCCTCTACAGTTTCGACCTCAGCCTACTACTCACAAACGACTTTGGTTCTATTCTCCTCGCAGACAGCAAAGTGTCCAACGTGCATGAACAAAACGCAGAGGTAGGTATACCTAGGCTGTTTTGAATACTGTAGATTAGCAGTGTCTCTTATCAACGCCCTCTCTCTAATGTCCTTGAAAATCATTCCTCGTAGTTAACGGAACCCAACCCCTCAGCTCACCAGCATTTTGGCCTGGTGACCAA